ATTATTTGGAGGCAAAGCCTAAGCTCTTATGTATTGCCTAGCCTATAAACAAACAATATTAATAATTTTCTCATTTTATGAACCAAAGACAGTTCTTAATTAGAATTCCCATCAGCACGATACCACAGTGAAGTGATAGTTTCATTTTTATGTAAATATTTATTCAATATATTAACACTTTTCTTTGGAAGGCTCTACATAAAATATTGATAATTAGCTATGGATGATATGAGATGGCTTTTATTTTTGCATATGTATGTATGTGGAGGGTTTTGTATGGGTTCTTTTTTTAAGTTTTTATTTAAATTCGTTAGTTACAATATAGTGTATTATTAATTTCAGGTGTACAATACAGTGATTCAACACTTCCTTACAACTGGTGCTCATCACAGCAAGTGCCCTCCTTAATTCCCATCACCTGTTTTACCCATTCCCCCACCACCTCCCCTCTGGTAACCACCAGTATGTTCTCTGTAGTTAAGAGTCTGTTTCTTCATTTGCCTCTTTTTTTTCCCCCCTTTGCTCATTTATTTTCTTAAATTCCACATATGAGTGAAATCATGTTTTTCTCTGACTTATTTTGTTTAGCATAATACTGTCTGACTCCATGTGGCTGTAAATGGCAAATTTTTTTTTTATGGCTGAGTAATATGTATCTTTTTTAAAAATAGTGACCTCATATTACTTTTAAGATTTATTTATTTGAGTGAGCAAGCATGCGGGGGGGCGGGGCGGGCAGAGGGACAAGCGGACTCCCTGCTAAGTGGAGAGCCCGATGTCGGACTCGATCCCACTACCCTGAGATCATGACCTGAGCCGAAATCAGGCGCTTAACTGACTGAGCCACCCAGATGCCTCTGACCACATATTACTTTTATTTTTTTTTTTTAAGATTTTATTTATTTATTTGAGAGAGAGAGAGAGAGAGGGATCACAAGTAGGCAGAGTGGCAGGCAGTGGGAGAGGGAGAAGCAGGCCCCCAGCCGAGCAGAGAGCCCGATGCGGGGCTATATGGAGGGCCCTGGGATGATCATGACCTAGCCAAAGGCAGACGCTTAACATACTGAGCCACCCAGGCGCCTCTACCACATATTACTTTTAAAAGACTCCCTCAAGCATCATTGCTTTACAACCTGAAGAATATAACACACTATTTCTGTAATGCCATCATATGCCAATTCTATTTAACAGTCTTCAGGATCTATCTGTGCATATAAATACTGTATTATACAAACAAACCATGGGGATGGGAATTCAATATACTGTAACAACAGGCTTCCTCTTTGATAGGTTTTAGATACAATCTAGTTATAAGGGCCCATCAGTTAAATGCATTAAAATAATATTTGAGGGCGCCTGGGTGGCTCAGTTGGTTAAGCGACTGCCTTCAGCTCAGGTCATGATCCTGGAGTCCCGGGATCGAGTCCCGCATCGGGCTCTCTGCTCAGCAGGGAGTCTGCTTCTCCCTCTGACCCTCCCCCTCTCATGCTCTCTCTCATTCTCTCTCTCAAATAAATAAATAAAATCTTTAAAAAAATAATATTTGAGAATTATACTTCAAACCCACTACCAGGAACTCCACATCTCATTATTGCTAGAGTGACATGCTATTTTAACTATTCCTTGAAACAAGTGGGTCACTGGGACACCTAGCTGGCTCAGTTGGTAGAGCATGCGACTCTTGATCTCGGGGTTTTGAGTTCCAGCCCCATGCTGGGTGGACAGATTACTTTAAAAAGAAAAAAAAAAAGAGGGGTGCCTGGGTGGCTCAGTAGGTTAAGCAAATGACTCTTGATTTTGATTCAGGTCATCGTCTCAGAATCATGGGATCGAGCACCGGGTCGGGCTCTACACTCAGCACAGAATCCACTTGAGATTCTCTCTCTCTTCCTCTGCCCCTCCCCCTGCTCACGCTCTCTCTCTAAAGAAATATAATCGAAAGAAAGAGAAAGAAAGTGGGCCACTGACTGCAAGATGGAAATTTTTTTTTTTATTTTTAGAAGGGGGGGCAGAGAGAGAGAATCTTTTTTTTTTTTTAAGATTTTATTTATTTTGGAGAAAGATAAAAAATGCACAAGAGGGGGAGGGGGAGAGAGAATCCCAAGCAGACTCCCTGCTGAGTGTGGAGCAGTGTGTAATTAAGAGCAAGGAAAAAGAAACTCATTATAAAGAACAAAGAGGTTTAAAAACAGCAAAAACAATTTCTAGAAATAAGAAAATGTAACTGAGGTTAGGAGCATGAGAAAAGTTGACATATGCCCAATTCCTGTTCCATAAGGAGAAAACAGAATGGGGAAGAAACAGTATCCCAAGAAATAATGGCTATTCCAACCCAGGATTTTTAAGTGTCAAGTTTAAAAACAAAAATGCATCATAACTCTGTGAAAGTTAAATTTTAAAACATAAACCAGATCATATCAAAAAATATGTGATAAAAAGGGGTGCCTGGCTGCCTCAGTCAGAAGAGCATGTGACTCTTGATCTCCGGGTCATGGGTTCAAGCCCCACATTGGGTATAGAGATTACTAAAAATAAATAAATAAATATACTTAAAAAATAGTGAAACCAGATCATATCATTTTCCTGCTTCAGTCTCAAATGGCTTCCCATTAAAATAAAATCCCTACAGGGCTGTCACTAACCTGCCTCCACCCCTCCCCTGACCTCACCTCTACCTCTCCCCTTTGCTCAGCCCATTCCAGCCTCACTGGCTTGCTTGTCCATCATCAGCACTCAGAGCCTCAACACTTGCAGTCTCCTTGTCAGAGGCTCCTTCTGGCATCTTTGCTTGGCTGACTTATCACTCAGGTCCTATTCAAATCACTATCAGGCCTGCATTGCCACATCATCCTAAGTACAATATCCCATCCACCCCCATCCCAGGCACTCTCTAGATTAATCCCCTGCTTTATTTCTTCATGTCACTTAACAGTACCTAAACATGTTCTCTTCTACCTGTGTCCTCTCCAGGATGGAAGCTCCCTTATCTTTCTTGTATTCTGCTCTATCCCTACAACCTAGAAAGGACCCTGGCACCTGGAAGATGCTCCATACCTATCCACTTAATTATCACACAACTGTGTGTGATAATAATAAGGTGTGTTATGTAAGTAACAACACCTCAGTGAAGAGAAGCACTCCCCAGTTTTCCCATGCAGGGTCAAGGGCTATGGCTGGTGGCTTTCCATCACTGTCCTTGTTTAGGTCACGCAGGCCTTTTCCTCCTTTCCACCCCACACCTGTCCCAGCTCCACAGCCTTAAGAGACATGTGACTTTTTTTTTTTTTAAGATTTTATTTATTTATTCGAGAGAGAGAGAATGAGAGACAGAGAGCACGAGAGGGGAGAGGGAAGAGGGCAGAGGGAGAAGCAGACCCCCTGCTGAGCAGGGAGCCCGATGTGGGACTCGATCCCGGGACTCCAGGATCATGACCCGAGCCGAAGGCAGTCGCCTAACCAACTGAGCCACCCAAGCGCCCAAGAGACATGTGACTTTAAGCAAGTCACTCCTTTAACGTTCCTGAGTCTCAGTTCCCCAACAACAGTTAAACAATACTGGTAAGGTCCTTACTAGGCAGCAGCAGCTGTCCTAAAATGCTTCACAGAATTCTTATTCACTCAGTTCCCTGGAAATTGACATTATCCCCATCATTCGGGTGAGAAAACGGAGGCAGTTAGAAATCAAGAAACCTTTCCAAGGCCAAACAGCTAGAGTGTGGCAGAGGTGAAATATGAATTGAGGCGGTTTGGGGCCAGGATCCTGCTTTTAACCACGACCCTGCACTGCCTCTTGGAAAAATGCAGATGATCTAAGGGGCCTGGAACATCACCCGTAAAAATCCAATGTTCTATTTTCCATCCTGCCCTTACTGAATCTCTCCGCACTACCAATTTGTTTTTGGCAGGTGCCTTCCCTTGGCAGCCCAGCACTATGCTCTCCAGCCGAATTTCTGGGCTACTTCACAGGTGACTCTTCTTTTGCTCGCTCTCAATTCTGGTGTTGCAAGAGTAAACCCTAATACAAACTATGGGATTTGGGTGATAATGTGTCAATCAATTCTACACTCTCGTGGAGAACGCTGATAATTGGGGAGGCAATGCACTTGTGAGGCAGGAAGGTTATGGGAAATCTCTGTACCTTCCGCTCAGTTTTGCTGTGAACCTAAAACTGCTTTAAAAAATAGTATCTAGGTGGGGCGCCTGGGTGGCTCAGTCATTAAGCGTCTGCCTTCAGCTCAGGTCATGGTCCCAGGGTCCTGGGATCGAGCCCCGCATCGGGCTCCCTGCTCCGCAGGAAGCCTGCTTCTCCCTCTCCCACTCCCCCTGCTTGTGTTCCCTCTCTCACTGTATCTCTCTCTGTCAAATAAATAAATAAAATCTTTAAAATAAAAAAAAATAGTATCTAGGTCTCCCGCGGCGCCTCTGTGCTACTCCTTGCCTCGGAAACATACGGTACAAGTTCTTCCCTCCTGCTCTCGCTTCCAGATTAGCTCCAGCCTGCCTCCACGATTAACTGAATTTCCCGAGGGCAGGCCTCCCCTGGGGCCGGAGTGACCGGATACACAGTTTAAAACCCGCCCAGCGGGGGCGCCAGGGTGGCTCAGTCGTTAAGCGTCTGCCTTCGGCTCAGGTCATAAAAACCTGCCAAGAAACCTCCCTGAGCCCACGGCCCCCGCTCTCCCGGCCCCGGCGCCGCGGAGACGGACTCCAAGTCCCAGCATGCCTCGGGGCGGAGGTCGCTGCGGGAACCCGGTCCACCCCAGGCGCCCGGCGTCAAGGTGAGGGCGTCCCGAAGACCGGCGTTTTCCGTTAGAAGCAGGCGAGGCCCCTCCCCCAGCCAACACTCACTGACGAACTCCGCTGCCTCCCGCCGCCCGCGAGCCGGGGCCTCTGAACCACTGGCCTCCAACGCGAACAAAAGACACCAGCCGCGTCAAAGCCGACATGCCAGCGCGCGTCCGGACAGCACTTCTCAGGCCCCACCGCCTCCTACGTCACTTCCCCCGGCGCCCCGCCTCGTGACGTCACGGCGTCGGCCCGCCCACCTCCCAGAAGGTGACTTACGCGGGCAGGGAAGCGGTATTCGGGCCGCCGGGCGTCGGGCTCGGCTTCAGGAACCTGTGTTTGTACGCGTGTGCTGAGAAACCAACGCTGAGTCTGCTGTCGCTCCCCTGACTGCTGATCTTGATGGTGTTTTCCCACGTCCTCCCCTCTTCTACCTGCTGCTGCTGAGTTAACAGCCTTCCGGACCCTTTTAGGCCGCCTGACCCACTCTGAACCAGAGGACCTTCCCCAAGTTAGTCTTTTTTTAAAGTTTTTGTTTTTGTTTTTAATTTGAGAGAGAGAGAGACCGCGAGAGAGGGAATACAAGCAGGGGGAGCGGGAGAGGGAGAAGCAGGCCTCCCGCGGAGCAGGGAGCCCGATGCGGGGCTCGATCCCAAGACCCTGGGATCATGACCTGAGCCGAACGCAGAAGCTTAAGGACTGAGCCACCTAGGCGCCCCCCGAAGCTAGTCTTTTGTACTCTCCTCTCCTGCAAGAGGCTCCCGACGGTTTCTTTAAGGTCTTCATTGTTTTACTGTTGTTCTGCAAACTTGGTTACCGACCGGCAGCCAATGGTTCCCAAATACCAGTACGTGGGCTCATGGCATCACGTTCATCTAAGGAGCCCGACCTCAGATACTCTTCAGTCTGAACTAGGGCCAAGGAATCTGCATTTTAGCGTGGCCTCCAGTTTCCGCAGTGCTCTAATACCCTGATCCAGGGCCAAGCCCTGATTCTTGGCTTTTATCTTTTAATATTGCCTTCTATTAAATCCTGGATGGACTCTCAGCTTCTCTGGACACCCACCCCACATCAGTCCTGCAAATTCTTAGGGTCTTATATATGGGTTATAGCTTTCCTAAAAAGTTCCAGGTTTGATTAAATTATATGAAGTTAGCCTGCCAGCCTCACACCTTGGAGATTTCAATTTGAAATGGATCAAATGATCCTTCAGCTAAACACTGAAAACTTCACACTCATGCATGAAAAATGGGATACTTATGGACAGAAATGTAGACTTAAATGTAGGGGTTTGAATGCCTTAACTATAACTGACATCTGTCCTTCTGTGCCAAGATGTGGGTCTCCATGTGCCCTGTAACGGGAAACCTCTCTCCCTGGAGTTACACTCAGGTAAAGCTTATGATTTACTGAGCTGCCCTGTGGCATTCTGAACAGCCTATTAATTACCCCTCTGGCCCTGTAGGACTCTCCCCTGTTGTCCTGCCCTCCTAACTTCTAAGTTGGTATATAAATTAGAGGAGAGAATCCACTATCTTCTGGATGAAAGTTGACTTTCTAGTTGATACACTAGTGTGGCTTTCTCTGAGCTACCATTCACCACCTACCCTTTCTAGTTACATGTACAAGCCACTAAGATATGAAGTTCATGATTTGGGAAGACAGGGCTTTCCATCCTTCCTTGGGAGCTCACTGCCCAAGCTACACAACTTCCCTGATCCCAGCAAAGAACGAATTTATGATGTCAAGGCCAAGGAAAAAAAAAAAAATAAAGCACAGCTTAAACCAAAAAAGGGCCAAAATATCTAAAGTTCAAACCTCAGCACTGCCAGTTCTTTGAATTTGGACAAGTCACTCTACGTCTCTGAGTATCAGTGGCCCCATCTGAGGGGAGTCATTTAAGAGAGTACCTGGCCCACAGCACACACTCAGGAAATGTTTATGCTTTGTTATTCCTTCCCTTCCTTGTACCAGAACCTATTCAGGTGTATTAAAATCCATCCACCTTCCCCATCTTTCTTGCTGAATTACAAAAGAAAACTTAACTTCAGTGCTTGCCTGTATTTAAAGCAATATTGTTTTATAGACCACTTGTGGGGTCTTTAGCTTTAATGTCTTGCATTACAAATTCTGATTTTTTTACTGTAGAAAGTATAGGGTCTCCATCAGTAAACTATTTTGACTATGTAGCAGTGATGCATGTTTGTTCTGCAGACATGCTTTAAGAACTCCCAGAGCAAATATCCCTTACTACTTTTTGTAGATTGCATGATGGCAGTGAGGGGTTGGGGTGGCTTCTTTTGGGTTCTCAGATAAGCGCCCCATTTGAGAGGATGCATTTTAGAAGGTGAGAGGAAGGATGCCAAGCCCTGACACTGAGCTCTCAGCTGCTACATGATGAATCAAATTCCCAGCCAAGTGTTAACAAACTGACAACTGCTAACAAAAGACAGACTCTAAATCACCTAACATAGAGCATCTAACCCCAAATCAAGGACCTATTCCACGGGGGTGCCTGGGTGGCTCAGTCGGTAAAGCGTCTGCCTTCGGCTCAGGTCATGATCCCAGGGTCCTGGGATCGAGCCCTGCATCAAGCCCCACATCAACCCTGCATCGGGCTCCCTGCTCAGCCAAGGAAGTAGCCATAGCCTTTTCTCCTTAAGAAGATGACTTTACAGATCAAGTTTTGCCGTTTTAAGATGCGTAATTTAAAACTCAGCAAATTACCCATACTAAAGCATATCTGTTGCCCATTTCTCTCCTCTTCAATACAGCCTGTGTTCATTTTTCTGTTGCTGCTGTAAAATTTCCTGAGGAACTGAGGCCCTTGGTCCAACAGTCCATGAGAAACTGAATTGTGCCAACCACCATTTGAATGAGCGTGGCATCAGATCCACACCTGGGGAGCCTCAAGATGCTCACAGCCCATGCAAAACCCTGAGCAGGGGACCTGGGAAGCAGCACCCAGATTTCTGACTTGCAGACACTGTGAGGTACTAAGTTTTATCATTTTCAAGCTACTAAGTTTTGGACAGTTTGTATGCACTGATAGATAACTACCTAATATGTACCACTATGGTGTGATTAAACCAACGGGCTTTTAGTTAAAGCTCAGTAGTGCTGGTGTGGGCTCAGGACGGCACCTGCTCTGTGTCTGTACGCCTGTCACCTCAGTGTCTGTGCACTTGACACATCCGCCCTGTGTCTGGCCAGGGTGTCCATGAGGGGGCTAATTGGTGCCACTGCCCTCTCCCAGCTACCGTGAGCCACGCCAGCCCCTCACTGCCTGACTAGACTGCCCTCCCCTCATGACTTGGCAAGTAAAAATAACATCTCCAGCTCTCTGGAAAAAACTGCCCCAAATGAACCTCTCTGTCTGCCTAAACCTTAGTTGCTTCCCAAAAGACAGAAAGGAGGAACTTTATTCTTGAGGAAAGAATGGAAGAATGGAGTCCTGTGGTCAGAGCAGAACTTCCAGAGAGCAGGAGAGCTTGACTTTCCACTCACTGTCTAAAGCAGTGGCCTCCAAAGCAAGCAAGAGAACCCACTGGGATGTGGGAGAAAATGCTATTTTTTATTTTAAAAAAAAAAAAAAAAGAAGGAAAGAAACTAGGGGCGCCTGGGTGGCTCAGTCGGTTAAGCAACTGCCTTCAGCTCAGGTCATGATCTCAGGGTCCTGGGATCGAGCCCCGCATCGGGCTCCCCGCTCAGCGGGGAGCCTGCTTCTCCCTCTCCCTCTACCCCTCCCGCTTCCTCTCTCTCACCCTCTCTCAAAATAAACAGGTACGTGCCTTTGGGCATAAATATTGCCTTATAAATAATGAGGTTTGTTTTAAGTTGTGTGAGCAGGGTTGGGTTTGTTTTAAAATAATGTAATCAGCCGCCTTGAAAAATGTATGCAGTCCCGAAAGTCTTTTAAGCAAAAGCTGAAATTTAAAAACTAAAGTAACATCACTGGATCCGTTACCTATTGTGCAGCTCCGGCACACCTGCTAAGAGACAGCTCACTAATTTTGCTGAAACCCATTACTGTAATCAAGTGGGAAGCAGTAATTGTCATCAGCCGGCTTGTGAAGAAATTTAAGCTTAAAAAAAGAAAGAGGGCGCCTGGGTGGCTCAGTCGGTTGAGCAACTGCCTTCGGCTCAGGTCACGATCCTGGAGTCCCAGGATCGAGTCCCGCATCGGGCTCCCTGCTCGGCAGGGAGTCTGCTTCTCCCTCTGACCCTCCCCCTCTCATGCTCTCTCTCATTCTCTCTCTCAAATAAATAAATAAAATCTTAAAAAAAAAAAAAAAGAAAGAAAGAAAGAAACTAAGCTTTACGAATCTCTACTCTACCGGCTGACCCTGGGAGCCTCTTAGTCCACGTGGGCCAGCCACAGCTGTGAGAGAACTGACCATGAGTGGACCCAGTGCAGAGAGGTAGGCAGCGGCCGCCTTAATCCCTTGCTGGGGTACCACTGGGAAGCTACTGCAGATTTCAAGCCCTGCTTAAGGATGTACTGATTATTTTATCTCTATGTTAGTATTAGCCAAAACTGACTCCGGACAAATGGAAAAGGGGCTGAACATTACCCAGAGAAACTGCAGTCTGAACGCTAACATGTGGACACGGGGGAACTTGAAGAAAATGGCAGAGCTGATTCTGCTCCTGTCCCTAGTATGTCAGCCACATTAATCATTTTACCTTGTAATAAAATCGAGCAGGAGATCATCAAAAAATATTAAAAATTATCAAGAAGATCATTTGGAATACAGCAAACTTTGCCCCCGGTACATATACTGTGCCTCCCAGAGATTTGCTAGTGGTGGTCACACCTGTATAAAACCTATGAATAAGTGATACCTGTGCACATATATATGTAAATATATATATTTCACCAGTAGGATGCGTAATCAGAAACACTGGGAAGCCATGGGCCTACAGGATTCTGTGACCTTTTCCAACCTAAATCCCAGAGTCATGGAATACCCAGCAGGACCCACCTGATCAGGAAGGAGAGAGGGTTAAAAGGAGAAGAGACAAAAACGGGAAAACAAAATAACTAAGTTTATTTGTCCTCCTCCACAGAACATTTTCCCTGAAATAGTCTCCAAGACACCAGGCCCAGCTTCCACGACTGAATGGCTAGGGCTCTTCCCTCCTTTCATTTCCCCAAATAACCCAAAGCTTTTAAAACAGACCCCTGAAACCAAGTCAGAATGAAAAATATTGGTATGCCTTCCATGCATCCCAATTTTAAAATGTTCAAGCTGCCACAGGAGAGGCGGTTGGGAGTGGCCTTCGGGTCTCAGACGAAGGCCCACTGCATGCCCACTGCTGCAGTCAGCAGGAGGACGCTGGTCCTTTCAGAAGGAAGGGCTTTGCTGCCTCCAGGATGTCCAGTTTGGGGTCCAGTGAGCGGCCAAGCCCCTCCAACACCATGATGGCGAACACGATGGAGGCAAAGTTGCTCTCTAGTTTTACCTGAAACAGAAAAACATGGGTTCTTTCCAAAGCCCATTGATCTAGGGACAGTATCCTGGGTAACCATGTGATTGTCCACTCCAGGCCTACTGGGATTTCTACCATCTACCTAACACTCTTTCCCCTACCCATCATTCTCCCCACCATCTCATCTACTCACCCAACCTTCCATCTACTAGAAATATTAAGGGGAAATCTGGGGGATGCAGCATGTACTTCTCTAGGGGGGGTGTGTGTGTGTGTATGTGTTTGAATGACTTGAAAATAATACAATGAATATTTCATAGCTATACCAGAAACTATAAATCTACATGAGGGTCATTCTTCAAGATCTGCAGTAGCCTTTTTGAGACCACGCACAAGTGGCTTTGCTCAAACACAGAAGAGCTTCTCCCCCACCCTTTTATTTTAAAATTTTATTTATTTATTTGAGAGAGAGAGCGAGAGAGAAGCAGGCTCCCCACTGAGCAGGGAGCCCGATGTGGGGCTCAATCCCAGGACCCCAGGATCATGACCTGAGCTGAAGGCAGATGCTTATCGACTGAGCCACCCAGGCGCCCCAACTTCTTCCCCTTTGGAGCCAGGTTAATAGTAATAGCAATTTAAGTGAATCACTCAACTAATTCTCAAAAGTACTATCATTATCCCCGTTCTATAGAAAGAAAGCTCAAGCACAGGCTGGTTAAGTGACTTGCTCAAGCCACTGCATGAGGGAGAGGAGAGCCAAGATTTAAACCTAGAAGAATAAGAATCTGTTTCTCAAATGGACTGAAGGTCGGAAAACTGCAGGTGGACACAGGGGGAAATAATCTCTGTTGAAAGGAAAGGGTATCTGTCTCCGTTCAGGCCTGAAAGGTTGTCTCGGGAGTCAGATGGTGCTTTAACACCACGGGCAAGGCTTTCATTCTTAAGCTGAGTGGTGAGTTCCTCAGTGTTTGCTGTATTCTTTTTATCTCTGTGTTTCTGGCCAATATCTTATTAAAAAATTAAGTGCTGGGCACCTGGGTGGCTCAGTTGGTTAAGCAACTGCCTTCGGCTCAGGTCATGATCCTGGAGTCCCTGGATCGAGTCCCGCATCGGGCTCCCTGCTCAGCGGGGAGTCTGCTTCTCCCTCTGACCCTCCCCCCTCTCATGTACTCTCTCTTATTCTCGCTCTCTCAAATGAATAAATAAATCTTTAAAAAAATAAATAAATAAATAAAATAAAAATAAAAAATTAAGTGCCGCATGGGGGCGCCTGGGTGGCTCAGTCGTTGAGCATCTGCCTTCGGCTCAGGTCATGATCCAAGGGTCCTGGGATCAAGCCCCACATCGGGCTCCCTGCTCAGCGGGAAGCCTGCTTCTCCCTCTCCCTCTACCCCTCTCCCCTGCTTGTGTTCCCTCTCTCGCTGTGTCTCTCTCTGTCAAATAAATAAATATTAGAAAAAAAAAATTAAGTGCCGCATGAATAGACATTTCTCCAAAGAAGACATTCAAATGGCCAACAAGCATATGAATAGATGCTGAACATCACTAATCATTTGAGAAATGCTATCAAAATCACAATGAGATACCACCTCCCACCCCTTAGGATGACCATTATCAAAAAAACAGAATAACAAGTGTTGGTGAGGATGTGGAAAACCGGATCCTTTGTATATTGATGGCGGGAATGTAAAATCATGTGTGGAAAAGCGGTATAGAGCTTCCTCAAAAACTACAAAAATACCTTATGATCTTGCAGTCCCACTTCTGGGTAAATGTACAAAAGAACTGAAAGCAGGACCTCAAAGAAATACTTGCACATCCATGTTCACTGCAGCATTATTCATAATAGCCAAGAGGTGGAACTAGCCCAAATGTCTCCGGATGGATGAACGAATAAAAAAATATGAGAGATATATATATATAATGGAATATTCTTTAGTCTTGAAAAAGAATTCTGTGACATGCTACAATATGTATGAGCCTCGAGAGCATCATGGTGAGTGAAATAAGCCAGTCACAAAAGGCCAAATACTGCACAACTCCATTTATACGAGATAACTAAAGTCACCCAAATCATGGAAACAGAAAGTGGACTGGTGGTTGCCAGGGGTCGAGAGGAGGGAGAAATTAATCGGGAGTTGTTCAATGGATATAGTTTCCATTTTGCAAGTTGAGAAACTTCTAGAGATTCGCCACGCAACAATGTAAATATGGTTGACGCTGCTGAACTATGCACTGGAAATGGTTAGGGTGAATTTTATATATGTATTTTTAACCATAAGTAAACATTTTTAAGTTTTTTTAAAAAAATGAAATGCCTAGGGAAGTACCTAGAATGCAGTACTTGTACTAGACATTCTCTGCTCTTCCATCCTGGGAACAGCAATGTCAACAGCAAACCTTTAGGGAGCTTCTGCCCATGGTGTCCCCCACTGTGTATCAGGAAGGCCATGTCCAGACTTAGAGCACAGGAGGCAGGAGGACAAAGCAGTAAGAGTCGGGGCTCTGTGGTCAGACTGCCGGCACCCGGGTCCTGAACCTGCCATAGGGGCCACGTGGCCGTGGGTTTGTTGCCGGGGCTCCTGGCATAGGTGGTGCCTTGATGAATGTGGAGGGGTTTAAGTGGGATACTGACAAATACGACACAGCTAAATCAGGCACCCCAGGGTGCTGAGAGGGGGCTCAGCATACAGCGCCGTGACTCGGCCAGTCCTCCCGGCAGCCCTGCGGGCTCGGAGAGGCTCATGCAGGTCAGAGCTGGAGAGTGCAAGCTGAGGCTACGCGCTCCACACTGGGTGCAACTGAACTCCCAGGAGTGTGTGTTCATTCCTGTTTCTCTCCAGCCCCACTCCCTAGCAATGATTAAAGCTTTTCCCAATCCCACGGTGATATTTAAGTCGTTTTTAAAACAGAACTTGTCAAAAGTTTTGGAAAGCATAAAGCTTTTCACCAAAACCCCACCAACAAGGCCAACTCTAGAGGCGGAGATGGGTGCAGACCATGGCTCTGGCATGCACAGTCGGTGGGGCGTGGGGAGTCACCTGACCTTTCAGTGCCCATCTCTTCGTGCAGATAATATGGCAGAGATCACACCTGTCCATGGGGATTATCCTGAGGTTGTTTTTTTTTTTTTAAGATTTTATTTATTTATTCGAGAGAGAGAGAATGAGAGACAGAGAGCACGAGAGGGAAGAGGGCAGAGGGAGAAGCAGACCCCCTGCTGAGCAGAGAGCCCGATGTAGGACTCGATCCTGGGACTCCAGGATCATGACCCGAGCCGAAGGCAGTCGCCTAACCAACTGAGCCACCCAAGCGCCCTATCCTGAGGTTTGAATGAGAGACTGGATGAAAAGCACCCAGCACGACCGAGTCCAGGTGGCAGGCATCCCACATGTGCTCGCTGCACCTGTCACCCCATGACTCCATGGCATACTTAGGGGACCCTTAGTCTGCGTGTCAGTTTGGTTCCGAGCACCCAGCCGCTGCAGAGCAACTGGGGAGCCGCAGAGAGAGCGCGGTACTGAGAGACCTGGTTGTGGGTCAAGTCTTGGCTCCGCCCACGAGGCCCAGGGAGGCGAGCAGACCACCCTGCCTCCCTCCTGCCTTCTGTAAAGTGAAGGTGCTCAGCCAGACAACCTTCTCTCAGTCGTGTGTTACGATCCTTGTCAGGTAGCTGCCTTTCCCATGCAGTGTTTGATTATCAGACTGCAGAACCTCAAGAGAAACAATGGGAAAGGCCGTCTTCAGAGGAGAACCTGCCCTGCCCTCAACGCGTGACACCCTTGGCGGGTGGCTTGGTTCTGAAAAGTGGCCCAAGACCACCCTCCATCACACGGAGACAGAGCCCGAGGCAAAGGCCAAGGTGAAGAACCGTGAGGCTGCCGCCCTCCAAGGGGCTGGGCCAGGACAGCCCCGCTGGGGCCTCCAAACACACCAGGACAAGAGGCACCTCCTCTTGGGCCGCCCCTGACCCCAGGAAAAAACTACGTATGACTTACATTAAGACTAAGCATCAGTAACATGAACTGAAGAGAGAAAAGGTATGAAGAGCCTGAGTTAGACAGTTTTTGCATTTGTATAGACCTATTCCTCCAGCTAGGGATCACAAGTACTTAGACTGCTAGACTGACAGTACCCAGACTAACTGTGGCGAGGAAAAGACCCCGCCACAACCGTGTCAGGAAACGGAAACGGCACCCTTCACACAAACGGACTGGTACGGAAAATGTTTGCATAACTGAGATGTCCTGTAGGAGAAGTCCCTCTCAGCGCCCTGAGGCCACCCGCCCGCTTCCCCAGACCCCTCCCCACCAGCCTGACCAGAGCGCGGGGGCTCGGCTCCACCGGTGGCCTTACCTTGTGAGTCATCAGTAACTTAAAGACATTCGACAGGAGGCTGGAAACTTGAAGCTGGAAAACAGGATAAAACTGACTGCAGAGTCCCCTCCACCGCTCCTCTCCCTTCCAGGCCCCGTCCCTCCCTGTCCTCCCACCCACACCCGCTCACACCCACACTAGCAACCACCGCCCCCCCCAACACACACACCAGCTGTCGGACAAATTCCAGAAAGGACCACACACGCACCAGCACAGCCCCCATTGCACTAGTGAGTTCAAAGACCCCTGCCGGAGTCGAGCCTCGAGGCCCGTCTACCCCATCACTCCCATCACTCCCATCACTCCCATCACTCCCAGCACACACAGAATCACATCTGAATCCATGAGATCCGCAGGGCTGGGGTGCCAGGCGCCGATCCTCACTACCTGGGGGCCACTCCTTGCTCTGACTCGCTCCTGCTAGTGTAGACCATGCACTCATGCACTCGGTGAGAAAACAGTCAAGTTTGCTAGAACTGTGTCTAAAACACAGAGTGGGCTTTGGTTCAGGTGTAAATAAAGGACACGAACGTTAGGTATGTCCTTTGGCTGCTCAAGGGCCTTAGTCCTCCCTCCCTCCCTGCTCAGCTGAGCTCCTGATCCCGGGAAGCAGCAGAATGGCTACACCCGGGACAGGGAGGGGTTACGGCACTATAAATGCCACCAGGTCACCGAGCCACTCCTGAAAGCCAGGGACTCCAGTGACCTGCCTCACACCCGGAAGATGCGGGCAGAGGACAGGTTTGCTCTTTATCTGCCTTAAAACTCAACCCTATTCAACCCCCAACTCCCCATAAAGAGGGTCTCCCTTCGACCTTTGCTCCATCCAAGGGCCAGGGCGGTAAACGCCCCACAGCCTCCACCCCCCCGAGTGGCCTACTCACCTTTTCCAGGGTGATGGTGTCCTTCCTGGCCTGGGTCACCAGTGTGGCCATCTCAGCCTTGAACCCCTCCACGTCCCTGCACTCGCTGGCCCGGGCGTGATGCAGGATGAGCTCAGCCACTCTCTGGCCCTACAAGACATGAAAGAAAGGAACTTGGTAGAGTCAAGAGACCATAAAACTAGACGCTCTGCCTCATATCCTAGTTGCTTCCACCCAAGGTTTCAACCATCCTGCCTTTGACCACCCATCCTTTTTTAATCTCACCCCCCTCCAGAATAGCTGGTAACCGACAGAGACCTTGAAAGGGGTGGCAGCTCCCCTGGGCTAGCGCAGCCAGGGCCAGGGGCTGTGTTCATCTCCTTCACCTTCAACGGCCACACGGGGCACGTGGCAAAGCCAGTGTCCTGCCACTCACGCTCCACGAGGCCCTGCTGACCAAGCAGCCCGTCCCCAGAGTCACCAGGACCTGCCTCTGGACTCGACCGGCCACACTCGCCTTGTGGGCTCTCTTCCTGGCCGAGGAGCATTCCCTCCTCACGCCTGGCCCAGCCTCTGTGCTCCAGCCTCCCACCTCCTCCTCTGCCCTGGGCGCCCTCGGACCAGAGCCTCCGGGCCCCCTGAACACCCTAGTGGTCACTCCCAGAGCCTTTCGCCTCCCCCAGCGCCGCCCCGGGAGCTGAGCTCCTCCTCTCTGGCTGTGACCTTCCTTCACCCCAACCTGTGCAGGGGAACGTCCCCCCCCCGCCACCTGCCACTGCACCTGTGTTTAACCTTGACTCAGGGGACACTTTTAACTGTCTCAGGCTCAAGCCTTTGGTTTGTCCCCTCAGAAGGCTCCCAAAGAAGCAGGGGCTCCCCTGAATTTTTGCCTTTATTAACAAACAAACAAACAAACAAAACAACAAAAACAAAACAGTTCTCTCTTTGCCAGGGTCTTTCCTGCCGGAAAATTCCACACCAGTCGGTCAGAGGGTTTCTTCATTGTCACTCTTGACTCAGTAGACGTTGTGCTGAATCCCTTTCCGTAAATAATAATTCTCAGCCACCGGAGCCCCTCGCAGCCACAGGGTCAGGAGTCAAAAACCACTCCAGACCCAGGGGATCTTCCCAGCCTTGGGGGCTAAGTCTGTGTTGGGGCTTCTCACCGGCCTGCCGTCTGTGGCAAGTGGCACAGGCCAGGCCGGCTGTGACTCCGACCAGAAGCCGGTGTTCCCAGCACCCACCCACCCGCAGGCCTGCCGAGGCGGGGAGAGAAGCTGCGGGCGGGTGGCAGCATTCAGGGTAGAGCCCTTTCCTCCCCTGGTCCCAAACCGCGAGCTGCTCAGAACAGGTGTGACACGTGGGCCTCAGCACATTCTGACTGAAGCCCCCTGGGCTGGCTTCCTTTCCCCTCCCCCCTCCCCCTCTCCCTGCCAGGCCCTCCCCCACCGCTGGACTCCGGCCGTCGGCAGCACCCGTGGCAAACGGAGGCAAACGGAGGCGTCTACTACACTGACGAGGGCCGAGGGGCCCCACAGGTCGAGATGGTCCCCAGCTCCCGCAGGCCCAGGGGGTCTCACCTGCCCCATCGCCACAGCCGTGAACACGGCCCGGAAGTTGCTCAGGTCGGCGGCCCGCAGCTCCGCCACGATGCCGGCGTCCAGCAGCACCAGGCGCAGCGCGCGGCGGGCGGGCGGCGCGGCCCCCACCAGCGCGTCGCGCACCTCCACCCGCTGCGGCTGTGCCTCTGGACTCCCGGGAAGACCGTCGGCACCCTGCACCAGGATGTTCCCGGGGTGGAGGTCCGCATGGACGAAGTTGTCCACGAATATCTGGAAGCAGATCAGCGCCACTCAAGGCAGAGTCACCCCTCGCCGCCCCATCACCACCAGGCCATGTGCAAAAAAGCTTCCAAGGTGACAGGGAGTGCCCAGGGACTGAGTACGCGGCAGAGAGGTGCACGTCTCATAAAGGCTCACTGCTTATGTCATGCATTCAGAATCTGTACTGGCATAGGCCAGGTTGACATTATTAAGAGAAAAATTATCTCTGGTTAAGCGTCTGCCTTCGGCTCAGGTCATGGTCACAGGGTCCTGGGATCGAGCCCCGCATCAGGCTCCCTGCTCAGCAGGAAGCCTGCTTCTCCCTCTCCCTCCGACTGCCACTCTCCCTTCTTGTGCTCTCTCTCTCTCTGTCAAATAAATAAAAATAAATAATCTTTTTAAAATTTTTTCATAAATCAGACCTGCCCTCCATTACCTCCATCTGACCATCACAGTGAAGTCTGACCGTGATACCGACAACCATCCCAGCACACAGAATCGGGTGGGCCGGGGGAAGTGGCTTTGAACCTACTAAGCAGGAAAGAAAGCCCCAGGGACTACGATGGACGGAAGTCAGGTGTGACTTCGTGGGGCAGGAGTGTGCGTCCTGTGAAAGGTCGTCTCTGTGGTCAGAAACCACCCGCAGTAATTCTGAAGGGGAAGGAGAGCCCGAGGACGGTGCAGAGAGCTGCGGGGACAGAGGCTCTCCGGGACTCCTCCTACCGCAGCCCCAGGCCACAGAGAGACCCCCCCGGGTGCGGGTTCTGGCTCTGAAGGTGGCAAGAGGCTGCTTCCCTGGTGAAACTACTGAGAACTAGAGAAGCCAGGGCTGGCACAGCTGCCAGATGTGGGTACGAAAGGCTCGCTGACCCGACCCCAGGGCCGAACCTCTTGGCGCATGGCTGTCAGCTTAGCCCCCCAGCTTTCGCCCCCGTCCTCCGTCCTGCAAGCAGGGGCCCGTCATGATCTCCCATCTTCTGGCTCCGCTTGGTGCTGCTTCTCCCCTAGCTGCTCCCACTGCAGCTTGCCCTCCGGTCCAGGGGCCCCTCGGAGCCCTGGGGCCTGGTTCCCCACTGAACTCCCACAGCACCGACTGAGTGGACACCCAGCTCTCCCCACACAATCCCGCTGCTCCAGGAGCCCCTCGGGTGGGGGCTGCTGACTTTCCACTAGAGGCTAGAGGTGGAGGCAGGGCCTGCTCCGAGCTCCTGTTCCCGCCCCTGCCCCACTTTGGCCACCAGCCTCGTTCCCCACGGCTCACGTCAGTCACGTGGGTTCTGTCCTCCCACTTTGGCCACACACCTGGTTCCTTCTTACCCAGATCCTGCACCCTCCAGGCCTGGACGCTCATCCTCTTTCCTGCCAACAACGTGCCATCCATCCCTCGACCACAGTCTTCCGTGCTGGCTACCAGGAAGAGCTCAGGCCCTACACTTCCGTACCTTCTTCCTTCACTCCTCCACGTGAGCTGCTATGAATGCCTGAAAGCTGACATGGCTGAGTGCTCACTATGTCCCTTTACGAGCGTCCTTTTCATCGTCAGGCTGTCCCCTCGTAGGTGACACCTAGACTTTACATCTCAGCTCAGATGGCGCCACTTCCTGAATAAATCCCGAGGCCGGGACGGGCCCCTCCTAAATGACCCTGTGGTACCTGTGTATCATTTATTTGTGGCCTGTCTTCCCAGAGAACGGTAGTTCCATGAACATTGTAATCATGTCTGTTTCGCTCACTGCTGTAAATCTAGCACTTAATTCAGTGCCTGGCACAGAATACGTGCTCAATAAACACTGCCGAATGAATGAATGAAGTGCCATTGAACATACAATATCTTTGGCTGTTTGTCTAAACTATAGGCAACGTGGGCAGGGCCTGGGTCTGGCTCCCTGCTCTTCCCACAGCACCTGGCACGGTGACAGCATGCGTGCCCCCAAGACTGTGCTTAACAAAAAGGCACAGAATGAAGGGGCTACTTCCGGAGCAGACTCTCACCATGGTGGCTTGCTGCTTTGCTCACCCCCTCGCCCATGGCAGCCGACCGGTGTCTCCACCATCTCCCCACACGCAACTCGACCACCTGCGGGCCCAGAGTACCCTCTCCAAGCCCACGAGCTCACCATCTTCAGGAGCATGTTGATCCCCAGCCGTGCAATCTTCTTCTTCAAGTCAGTGGGAATCCCCGCCTGCTGGTAGCTGGACACCGGCACGCTCTCCTTTAAGGAAGGTCAGGAAAGAGAGAGCTTTACCCTGGACAGCCCGCCCAGTGCCCTGCTCTTCATCCCCACGGGACACATCGGCGCTACCTTCCCATCCCAACTCTTCCCAAAGAGTTTTCCCTTCCTTACAATCCCTCTGAATCTGTCACCCACAAGTTAATTTTAACCTGTTTGCTCTTCCCTTCTGTAACACTTCTCAAAAGAAAACAAGTCCCATAGACTTATTATGGAGGAAACCCGTGACTCTGCCACCCACAGATAAGAGATGTTGTAATGTCGCGAGAGAAGACAGGAGCAGGCCTCAGGAGAGCCAACAGGGACATGAGTGAGCTCTGTGACCTCGAGCAGGAAAGGAAGGGGAGAAAGGGAAGAAAGGGGAAAGTAAACATTTCATATAGGTTAGTTATTTGTCCATTGAGACAAGTGCCCATTGAGATCGATCTTGTTATTCCTCAGTAGCAAAGAGAAGAACTAAAGCCCAGAGAGTTTAAGTAACTTGCTCAAGGTCACACAGCCAGTAACAGTGGGTCTTTCATGTCACTTCCCTGGGTCTCACGTTACCATTTTTACAAAGGAGGCCGGACCAGGCAACAGCTAAGGCCAATGATGTGACACCAACGCTTCCTGAGCACTTTTTCTTTGCAAACTCTGTGCTGAAGGCATTTTGCATTCAACGTGTCACTGACTCCTGGGACAAGCCTACGAGGCAGGGACAGGCGCCCACTGTTACACAGGAGGAAAATGAAGTCACCAGCAAATAAAATGGAAAGATTTTCAAGTCCAGAAAAGTCTGGGGCCACGTCCAGGCTCCCAGCCACCTCCCTACGCTGCCTCCCCGCCCCGTATCCGAACTCCCCTCAGCTTTACAGACAGTAATCACATGCTCTCTTGGCTTTTGTCTTTTCAGCGGAGGTGGCCCAGCCGTGAGCGAAAGGCACAGCCCCAGGAAGCTCTCACTTACCTCGTACGTCTCCACCAAGACATCCCTGGTGACAAAGGGACGCAGAGGGGTGGGGAATTTGACAGAATTCACATTCAGGAAGTTGCACTGGAAGTGTTCTAGATTCCGAGCTTCGTAACGCAGGTCAATCTAGAGGGACATGGAGAGAAGGGATGAGGGGTGACCTGGGCACCGGGATGGCAGCATCTGCAGCACCACAGAGCTAGCCAGTCCCCACATCCACCAGCCTGCCCCCCCGCCTTCCTGCAGAACGCCCCAGGAGACTCGGCAGGGGCGGTTTTGCCTCCACGAACTTCTGGAAGCTACAGCGGCAGGCAGCCCTGCAGCACCTGGGCTTGGCTGCCTCCCCGCCATTCCCTCTCCGCTCACCCCCTTCACTCCAGCCCATGCAGCCCTTCCCCATGTCCCAGGGGTTTGTCTCCACTGGTTTCCAGCAGCCCGCTCCCCTCCGCCCACTGCACTGACCCTGCTCCCTACACTCCCCAAGGCTTCCGCGTGCCCGACTCAAGGGACCGCTCCCATCTTTATCCTAACGAGCTCTCGGGGCGCCCGGTACTGGTGCCGTTGAGGACCCCCTTCTTCCTGAACAGCCCATCTCCTGGCACCTGCTGTTTACTTCCCCCCCATGACCCTCCCCCAGCCTCCAACTGCCCCGTCTGGGTCTGGTCTCCCGGCCGTTCCTCCTCTGTATGCCCCACACGTGCTGACGCTCTCTCGGCTGCTGCCCTTCACCAGCCTGTGCCCCCCTCTCCGTTGCCTCCATCCTCAGCTGGCACCTCCTCGTGACAAGACCACGGTCTCCTGGCCAGACCCCGGTCAGACCCCACTACCAGCTCCGCACTTCTCTTCAAGTGGTAGCCCCTTAAACTCCGTGTCTAAAGAGAACTTACATGCCCCCGCCCCCCTGACTGCACATCACTTCTTCTCTCTTGGCCTCCACACAGTGGGCTGCAGTCTCAGCACGCTCAGCTCCGCCCCACTGCACCTTGGCTCCCAAGCTGACTCGCAACCAGTCACTGGAATCCTAACAGAGGCACCTGAGTGGGGCTCTCTGACTCCCGTCGTCCCTCTCTCTAATCCATCTGCTGGTGCCCCCCCCCCCCCCGCTACCCGCAGGATGAAGTCTAAATTCTTGAGGATGACATCCAAGGTGGCTCTCTCTTCAGATCCATCTCTTGTGCCTCCCACTTCCTCTCTGGCCCAGAATTTAGCTTCCCCCAGTCTGTATGGTGCTGAACATCCCAGCCTACCTGAGCCTCTCCCTCTCTCCTTTGCCTTCCTTATTCCCTCTGACGGGAATGTTCTTCCCCCATTTGGTCCAACTGTAAACACCCCTCACCTTCCAAGACTCAGCCTGAGCCTGGGGAGCCTTGACCCTCAGGACAGAATGATCACTTCCTCTCTGGGCCCCAGCTGAACCCAACTGAACCTGTAGAGACTTCTACAGGAGTCTCTGAGATCATGCTCTATTTGCAAATATTTACGGGTCTGTCCGTAAAATATTTACTCTGCCTACTATACCTTCCTTGTGGATGAGAAAATCTCACTCATCACCCCCATGCTGTCTATCAGATTCTAGAAGGGGAACCAAAGCTCACATGGGTGGTAGGACTGAGAGTAATGTGGAGATGGCTGTGGGAATAGAAGCTATTTTCTCGCTTTTAATCTTCTTTTATTATCAAAACTACATTACTCCATAGCACACAGCACGGCTTTCTAAACATTAAAATGCATTCCTGGGACTTAAAACCTTCCATCGGAGGACATGAATGAGGACGTAGCACATTGCTTCTGGAAGACTGCCAACTTCTGCACTCTCCAGCGGGGAGCCAGGACGGTTGCCTACTTGAAGCCCGGACCGCCCCCAAAGTGTGTGCACCAAGCCTCGCTACTTAAACAAGGATTCCAAGGGTCCTGGACAGGGAGGAGGGCCTGGAAACAAAGCAAAGGCACAGTGGCGACTTCACTAATTCTTCTCACCCGGGAGTTCCGCAGCTGCCTGCGGGCACAGGTAATAATGCTGAAGGCCCCTCCACAATCCTGCACTTCCCTGCAGGCAGTAAGGAAGGTAGCTTCCCAGCACGCTCACAGTTACACTGGGCTGTGGCATTTAAGCTCTGGCCTCTGGACTAAGAAGGCCCCAGATCTCTTACGGGATCCTCCATGGCCTCCTCCCCATTCCGCACTGACCCGAGATGACGTGGGTTGAAGATGACCGTGCCCAACTTGGGAGGAAACTGGGTCCCTGAATCACTATGGAGTAGAGCTCCCTCTCCCTCCTTCAGTTCACCGGCATGGAACTTTGACAGAAGCAAGAAATCACCTTGTAGCATTCGGCCTCTGAGATCTGGGCGTTCCTTGTTACGTCAGTTAGCATTACCTACCCGACCACCGCACCATACTGGCCGTGACACACTGGGAAGTCACGCATCCATTCAGCATTTGCTAAACAGCTGATGGCAAGAACTATGTGAGATGCAATTTGCAACTGAGGGAAGGAGACTTCACCTGATGGACCATGAGCTTCTCAAATTCCTCCACGATCTCAGGCAAGCTAAGCCACTTGATTCCCGGCAAAAGTGCAAGGACTCGGCTGCCCATCTTCATCAGCAGCAAGTCCATCTGCACCTGAGACAGCAAGCCAGGGTGCAGCACCTGCCAGGAAGAGGAACAGTGAGGCAGGGAGGGGTCAGGAGGGCACGTTCACCCAGATGGGACGGGGCCCCAGCATCAGGGAGCCAAGCCAGCTTCTCATCAGAGCGGAACGTATGTGGTCCCAACACCCAGGACCCTCCTCTCCCTCGCTCCCGCGTGCCTTCCATCAGATACTAGGGCCAGCTCCTCTGCGCTGCACTTAGCTTTGCCGGGAAGAACAGGTGGGCTTTTCCTTCCAGATACATCAAGTTTAGGTCAATGGCTCCCAAACATTAGTGTGCATCGAAGTCACTGTGGAGTACCCGGTGTAGATGGGGACAGCCGGGCCTCCACCAAGACCTACTGCATCACCGACTCTGGGCATGGGGCCAGGAATCTGCATTTTACTGAGCACACCAGGTACTGAGTCCAAAGCCTGAGTCAGAGAAGGATGTAGAGTCACAGAACCCCAGCAAGGTTCACAGAGGTGGGATGCAAAGAGTCTGCTTTCAAATGCCTATTGGTTCCGCAACTCATTCCCAGTCTGAAACTGGCCAAGCTACTCAACCTCTCAGCCTCCTGTTCCTCTTTTTTAAAACATGGAGATAGGAGGGGCGCCTGGGTGGCTCAGTTGGTTAAGCGACTGCCTTCGGCTCAGGTCATGATCCTGGAGTCCCGGGATCGAGTCCCGCATCGGGCTCCCTGCTCAGCAGGGAGTCTGCTTCTCCCTCTGACCCTCCACCCTCTCATGCTCTATCTCATTCCCTCTCTCAAATAAATAAATAAAATCTTTAAAAAAAAAAAAAAACATGGAGATAGGGGACACCTGGGTGGCTCAGTCGGTTAAGCATCTGCCTTCGGCTCAGGTCATGATCCCGGGATCCTGGGATCGAGTCCCACATCGGGCTCCCTGCTCAACGGGGAGTCTCCTCCCTCCGCCTCTGCCCCGCCCCCCTGTTCGTGCTCTCTCTTGCTTACTCTCTCTCTCTCAAATAAATAAATAAAATCTAAAAACAAAACATGGAGATAACAGTCCTTACCGCTCCCCCCCCACATGAAGTCCTTTCAGGAACAAAGCAGAGATATAAATAGAGATGTAAGTTAAGCACATGCCTCCCTCAAAGGCAGCTTGTACAGACTAAATAATGCGTCCACCATGACTGGCACCGTCCACTCCTTGTGTCTTCCACAGAGCAGAGGGTGTTTTGGTCCAGTGTTCCCCAAACGTTCCTGCTCACGGGAATCACTGGCAGCATTTATAAAAAGCCAGGCCTCAGGCCTTGGAAAGTATGATTGGAAAGTATGGGTCTGAACAGAGGTTTGTTTCCAAGGAGGTGTAAGAGAGCATCAAGGGTACCTGCTGCTGGGGTCTGCCAGATCCCTGGGATCATGCTGAATGGGGACAGAAAAGTGTGGAGACAAAAATGATGGAGTCCAGGCAGGGGTGACTAGAAATGAAGAGAGAAGGAAGCCACTTCCGTAAAAATGAGTACCGCCATCTTGGGCTCACCACAGACTGTCCCTGACTTATCCTGGCCCCAGAGGAGTGGGTCAGCTGGGGGGTGGTTCCCCCACCCACAGAGGCAGCGGACCCCAAACCCTCTTCATTTCCTTTATCAGACTCTTCACACAACCACTCCCTCGAACCCAGAAATCCAGCGTGCTCAGCACAGGCACACAGACAAAGGTCAAGCTAATAAAAATCAGTGGAAGGCAATGTGGGGCGATTTGCAAATGGGGGTTCCTGACCTGGGACAGCTCTGTGGAGTCGGTGAAATTTTAGACAGGAAGGACCAGCCGAAGACATCCGAGCACTTACTTTCACTGCCACGGGGATGAGATGATCTGGCTCAGGTTGGTGGACAGGTGCTGAAGACTGAGACACGACTGCATTTGGTCCAATCGGGTCAGCTTTAGGGAGAAGCAGCCTTTCTAGAAATGACTGGTCAGCAAGACTTCCTTGAAACCCCCACCCCTTCCCCGGGGGGCCAGAGAGCTCTCCCAGCCTCCCGACTGGCCCAGCTTCTGAAGAAAGCTGCAGGCGGGAGGCCTTAGCAAGTCTCTGGACGCTGTCATGCTCCAGGAAGGTGGGATTGGCACGCGCTTTGTACACTTGGGCCACACAGCCTGAACCCACAGGTTCCTTCTTCTCAAAGCAGAGGACCCTCCCCCAGTCTTCCCCAAATGCCTGGCGCAGGAAGTGTTCAGTGTGAGCCCAAGGGTGGGGGGTCACCCGGACATGCAGCTTGGAGAACTGGGCGCAGAAAGCCTCTGAGAAGAGATCGCGCCGGGTGCTGGCCCACTGGCCCAGTTTGATGTATGTTGGGCCTGAGGTCTCCGTGGCTTTCAGAAGCAGGTAGAGCCAGAGGCTGGAGACGCTGGGAGCCAGGTAGGTGAGGGGGTAGAAGAGAAGGAGGGGGAAGAATTTCATCAAGAGAGCCCCAGCCCGGAGCCAGATACGGAGGTGCAGAAAGAGGCATCCTAGCCGCCCCTCTTGGGAGACTCTCTCCAGAGGCCCATTTTCAGCTAGGTCACTCCAGCCGGCTCTTCGCGGGCACACACTCTCAGGAGCCCCCTCACCAGTGTCCCCATAGGCTGAGACAAGTTTGGGTAAAGTACCAAGCAGAAGCCAACAGAGTCTGACATTACGAGAGCATCCAGATGATCTCAAAAGGCCGAGTTCTCTTCTGAGCTCAAAACCCCTTAGGTGCGACAAGCAGACCCTGACGGAGAAGCGCCAGGGGGTCACCATCCTCTCCCAGAGGTCCCCGGCCTAGGCTGCCTGCCCCCGGCTTAAAGGGCACCCATCTAACTTCACGCTTTAGGCAAGGCTGACACGAGTCCAGGGCCACAGCTGAGTATCCCACTTAAGCGTGGGGTACCAGCGAGATCCCACGCCGCTCAGACCCCGCGTGCAGGCTAAGCGCGGGCAGGCTCCGCGCAGCCCGGCCCCTCGGTCCCCGCTCCCCACCCCACTCCCTCCCGGTACCTCGCCTAAACCTAAGGCCTGAGGCCGGCTGCGCCTTCGGGGGGCTTTCAGAACTGCACCGACTGTGAGAACCGGGGCGGCCAAGCCAGACGCCGGCCAGGCCCAGAGCCGGGACGCGACCTGCACGAGGTGGCCGCGCGGGCGGAGCCAGAGTCTGGCGGCCGCGGCGTCACCCCACACCAGCTCGCTGGCGGGGCACCCGCCGAGGGCCAGAGCGCGGAGGGCCTGGGCGGGGGTGGGGGTGGAGGTCGGCGCGGAGGGCCCGGGTGCCGAGAGCCGGGGGTGGCGGAGGCAAGGGAGGTGCGGGGGAAGAAGGAAGGCACACCGGGACAAAGGGTTGAGAGCCGCGGCGTGGAGGAGGGGCAGTGCGGCCCGCCGGAGACGCAGGCACCGGGTGCCCGGGTCGGGAAGAGCCAGGGGCCGGGAGGTGAGGGGTGCAGAGGTTCAAAGACGAGGGCCCGAGGATCCGGACGCCGACAGCGGGAAGGGTGTGCGGAAGGCCGGCGATCGGGATGGAGAGCGTGGGGAGAGAGGGGCGGGGAGGGCTGGGGATCACGGTGAGGAGGGCGGGGGAGAGGGGTGCGGAGGGCCGGAGTCCGGCCGCCCAGTGCCGTGGAGGGCGCGCCGAGGGCCGGGGATCCGACGCCGAGGACTCGGCCCCCGCGTCTTCCGGGAGCGCCCCGCCCGCCCGCTCGGGCTCCGCCCCTTAAAGCGGAAGCGGCGCGGACACCCTCGGAGGCTAGCCTGGCCCTCGGGTCCTGGATTCCATAAACAGGTTTAATGCAAAATGCAAAGGCAACTTCTGTGCCCTCCCCTTCCTCCGTGCCTCTCAGTCTCCACCGACATCTTTGTAGCTTTCCTTACAAAAGGCATGGAAACGCTGAGACGCGCAGTGAATTGAAAGCCCGTTCTGCACACAGGTTGGGTTCTCAGCTAAGCAGAATGTGAGGAGAGGCAGGGAGAGGTTATCCTTGGACGGAGAGTTCCAGGCAGCAATGATTTGGGGAATGTGTTTGGACCTTGAGGAGTGGCTCCTGAAAGACCACGCTTATTCATTCAACCAACACTTTTTGATCCCAATACGTATTTCTTAAGCAGAATCTAATATTATCAAGGCTCCATAATATGTATTAAAACTAGATATCATGCTAGGCCCCGGGACATGGAGACACAGGGAGACACACATCCTGCCCTTACAAGATGATCACTCATGAGGGAGACCCCGCAGGGGAACACATAATGTGCAATTTCAATGTGGCAAGAGCATGAAAGAAATGAAGAATTGGGAGAACCCCAAGGATGGCAGCTACTTTGGAGAGGAAGGTGTTCAGACATGTAAAGAATAAAGTCCTCAAGAGGAAGGAGTTGAGTGTGAGAATTTGGGAGCGGGGGTTGTTGGTTTGATTTAACCTTGAAGAACCAAAGAAGGTCATATGGCTCTAAACAGCGAGGGGGAGAGAAACAGAGGTGATGGTGAGGTTGGTAGGGGCTGTAGCCCCGTGTCAGAGGTGGTGATGGTCGTGGTGCTGGGTTAGAGGTGCAACTTCTCAAGGATCTATAGTTGCCCAAGCAGGTGAAGTTGAGGGATTCCTGGGGTCCATGTGACTGTCAATGAGGAGAATGATGTCATCCATATTCAGGCACATGGGCAGCAAAATCACACCGTTCTATCAAATATGAACCCTAACTCAGAATTTGTAAGGGCAGCCTTTAAAAATCACAGATGCGGGGCTCCTGGGTGGCTCAGTCGGTTAAGCGTCTGCCTTCAGCTCGGGTCATGGTCCCGGGGTCCTGGGATGGAGCCCCACATCGGGCTCCCTGCTCCACGGGAAGCCTGCTTCTCCCTCTCCCACTCCCCCTGCTCGTGTTCCCTCTCTCGCTGTGTCTCTCTCTGTCAAATAAATAAATAAATTCTTAAAAAAAAAAATTGCAGATGTTGATTTGCAGTCAAGCTGCTTCTCACATGGGTCATTTTATGTAATCTGGTTCAGGATTAGTAACAGCACAAATGTATGTGGGATGGTTAATGACTTAAGAGACTAAATACACAAACGGACACTGGCCAGTATATGACAGTAGAACTCAGACCCTCAGCCTCTGCAGCCACCGGCCCCGGACAATCAGGACTTGGTCAATGACTGCCAACTTCTCTAATTTTCGTCCCCCACTTCCATCCCAGGACCAACCAGAGAAAGCCAAATATCTTCTCCAAATCGATCACAGAGGATGCTCAGGCCTCCAGCTGCCTTGTGCCAACAACCGACAATTAGGGCACACCTGAAGCCTTTTTTTTTCCTCTATAAACCTAGCATTTGAGTCTTCGTGGGTATTTGAGTCTCTGCCACATGCAAGTGACGGTGGCTGACTTCCCTGCTATAGAAATCTCTGAATAAATAGCCTCTGTTTGTCCTCATTTGGGTGGACCCCGTTTTTTTCCCATAGAAATTTTCTTCACAGCTAAGCCAGCTAACTATTAACAGTTTCCAGTTCTTGGAGATGTTCCTGCTGTTGCTGTTGACCCTGGTACCACTAAGTGGCACCATTCGCTCGTGAAGTGCACCGAAGCTTCCTCCGCGTTCCCGGACCCCACCGAAAAGAATCGGGTGGGCGTGGAAAGAGAATGGCAAAGGCCCACCTGGCTGTGCTTATCTTTTCACAGGACCCAAATGACTGTGATTTTAGCATTTCCCTTGTAACATGGTTACACAGCAGATGGGATGCAGGGCAAGTACTTGTTCAAGACTCCCGGGGAAGAGGGTAGAGATGGGCAATGGGCTCAGCAAACAATTGTTGTCGACCTCAGCACGTTTCCCATTTGGGGCAGGATAATTCTTTGTTGTGTGTGGTGGGGGGAGGGGGGCGGCGAGAGGGAGGGGAAGCTGAACTGTGCTTTGTGGGATGTTTAGCAGCATCTCTGGCCTCTACCCACGTGATGCCAGAAACCGCCCCCCCACACACCACCTTTTCCAGACTATGACTTTAAAATACATCTTCCAACGTTGCCAGATGTCTCCTGGGGAACAAAGTTGCCCCTAGAGGAAAACCACAGGGCTTAGCTCCTGTGGGGGACAGTTCTCTGTTGAGACCCTTTCAGCAGTTCCCCCCTCAACACACACACACACACACACACACACACACACACTCGTTTTCTTCAGAACAGGGTATCAGGGAAGGGAAGCCCCTGAGCAGGCCTGCTGCAGCCCCCGATGCCTGAGGATCCCTGTGGGGAAGATGAGACCCAGCTTCCCCCTCCACTCCCACCCCAAACCTAGGGGATTGTTAGACAAATAAAAGTTCCAGGACTGACTCCCCCCAGGTCCCACTTGGTACACCTGGCCTGCAATCAGCTCCCAAGAGAATGGGACCCTGGCATGAAAATTCTGGCCCTGGGCCACCCACCTACAGCTGCTCCTCAAACCCGTAGAGTAGGACTACCCGAAACAGCGCTGGAGAAGGAGGACACTGAGGGAGGAGGCTGCCACAGGCTCGCCCACCTCCCTCCGCACGTGTGGCAGCGATTCTCACAGCCCTCCCTCGCGTGGGCTCCCTGGCCGCCTTCCCGCTTCCTCCTTTCTTTCTCCTTAGTGGGGTTGTCATGGGAATTTGTCCTCCCCCGGGTCCCACCTTCTGGCTTGCTAGGGTTGCTCCAGCACGCCCCAGGGGCAGGTGCTGTCCTTGTGCAAATGCCCAGTGGTGGGGGCAGGTCCCCTCCCTCCTCGATGAGGGGCTTGGCTGTGCCCAACCGAGAGGTCCCTTCCCGCTCTGCTCTGCTGCTCCCCGGCCTTCTACGTCTCTGCTCGCAAGTCGGCCACGTGAACACAGTGGCTCCCGCCCGTGGTCCTAGTGGCTGAGCAGCAGGGTTTGTCCTGGGTTAGACTGCTGGGCCCTTCCGGGCTCTGGCCCTCATTCGCAGTGGCCTTGGGCAAGGCACCTACCTCTTTTGGGCTGTTTCTTCACTGATAAAAGAGGCTGACACTAGAACCTGCCTCCTAGGTGATCTCCGCAAAGCCTTAGCTTTAGCTGGCACACAACCAGCCATACAGGAAAAAGCAGAAAGGGTGAGAACTGGCAGCTGCTATTTTTTGCCTATTTGAGAAGGCAGGGAGCTGGGGACGGCCTGAGAGCCAACTGCCCTGATCTCCCCAGACACCTGAGACCCACGAAAGGGAGTAGCCAAGCCCAGGCCACACTGCTATCTAGGCTGGTCAGATGTCACCTGGCTCGCCTTTAAGACAGTATTTTTTATTCTGCTCTAAGTTGATCTGAGAGATACAGGAAGTGGATCAGATATTAGGGCCCCCCAGAAGCATGTTCCTTCAAGGTGTGGCCTCTAAGAGGCAGTCCAGTTATTTGGAGGCCTGAAGGCTGAGATCAGGGCTGGGGGGACATTAGCAAGGGGGGGATGAGCTGGCGGGTTTTGAGTCTATGCGTGCAGCTCGCAGCTCATAATGTTGTGTGATGAAAATGTTTGGAGGGATTCTCCTTCTCCCACACCTCCCTCAGGTTTGAGGAGGCTGTCTAGCTGGCTGGGAAGTAGGTCAGGAAAGCTCTGAGAAGCAAGCTGTGAGAGTCTTACGTCCTCAGGCCAGTCTAGAGCTGGTCCGACTGTCCTAGCGTGTTCTGCAATCACAGCGAACAGGAAGATCTACAGCTGCTCAGACGCAGAAATCTGTGACTCAAAAAAAAGAGAATCTAAATCACCACACTCTGTTCCCTTCCTTCATGTTCAACTGGGTCTCCCAAAAGGAACAGAAAAGAATATAAGTAGAGGGTATTTGGCATGGCAGCCTGACATTTGAGAGGGCCTAATGGTGAACGCTGCAGAATGTCCATGACTTTGTTCTCTGCTTTCGGTCATAAACACACCAATCCTTGTAAAGCTATGAATGCCTTAATTCTTTGTTGGGGAAAAAAATGACCCTCCAAAGCCAGGGGCATAGAAGCGCAACAGATGGTTCTTAGGCAAAATTCTGTTATTGTGTTACTTGCCAAT